ATTCAAGGCCACTGTTTCAGAAAGTATTACAAGCAGAAAACCAGGCATTAACTATTTTAGCAGGAGGTCAGAAGACCTGTCTTACATTCCAACTCCAGGTTGGGCAGGGCTCCTTCCAGACCATGGGAAGAAGGATTTTCCTAACTGCAGTACTGGGTTGGAAATTTGCCATATCAGGGCAAACCTGGCCTTGCTGAATCTGCTTGACCCATGCAGAAAAATTACTGAGCTGCAATGGCCGGGAATGAAAGTATGCATAAGCTAAGAAACGAAGTCTGGAGTGAAACTGCAAGGACAAATAGGCCTTAAAAAGGGGCTCTAGCCTTGAAAAGAGGGGCATCTTCTACAGGTATTGTCAAAGTCTTGTTTAAAGGAGAACTATGGAGTCAGTGTTTTTCCCCATAGTTCTCCTTAGGGTAACGGGAGGACACAAACTAGCATCCTCCAGTTACCCTAAGCTCAGTATACTGCGAGCTACAGCTCGCGGTATACTGAGACGGCGCAGCCGGAGCGGATTCCGACATCGATGTCGAGATCCGCCCAGCTGTGTGAGTGACAGCTGGCTCTGCCTATCTAGAGGCAGAGCCAGCTGTACCCGCCCCCTCTCCCGTCCGTTCCGCCAGTCAGCACTGGCGGATCGGAGCGGGGAGGGGGGAATCCAGCCCCTCCCCTGTCACGGCAGAGAGCCGTGACAGGATCGAGAGGTGAGCCATTGCCGGTATATGTTCGCTCACCTCCCGATCTACTGAGCCGACCTGTGACAGTCTCATTGTCACAGGTCGGCTAGAACTATGAGGTGAGTAGAACTCACTCATCTCATAGTTCTCCTTTAAACAAGAAATGGCTGGGTTTACAAGGACAGCCCATTATAAGGGAACCATCCCCAATGGGGTATAGTTGAGCAAAACATTTTTATACATTTTTTGGGGCTGATCCCGGTCACCATATGACACTAGATGTAAGAGCAAATGTACCGGGAAGGTTTTTGTAGGTTTGAGCCTTTTAAAAGGATCCCAGGCTGGTAGTGCTAGCTGCAAGCATTAATGAACTGTGTCCACAGGGACAAGAATTGAGTCTGTTAAGTTTTGAGGGATTTCAGGAGACAGATCCTCCTCCAGAGCCCAAAAAACTAGAAGCAGCCCCTTCCTCCTCGTCATCTTTTTCCTCAGGGAGTGCAAAAACAGATCGAGGGAGGTAAAAAGGAGAATCTGAGGTAATAGGTGAGGGAGTTGCTTCCCGAATGGTCTTTACTAAATGTATTTTCCACAATCACTTAAGAAATCAGTCAGGGTAGCGATATTGAAGCAAGCCTTGATCATTTGCTTTTGAAAATACATTCTCCAGGCATGTCATCTTCTTCTTTCTTTCAGTATTTCTGAGGCACTGACTTGGAAAAAAAACTATGCTGGATTCATGCTTGTTTTGGGTCAGTAGCTCACTGTCTGGGGTATGCCCTTGTTTGCCTAGTATGATCGTTCTATAAAAATGCACCTTTAAAAACAATAATAGCTCCTATCTGGTTTGGTCTAGAGGTGAACATTAATGAGCTTCTGAAGAAGACAATGATTCTGTTTTGCTATAAGTGCAAAAATACTAAAAACATCAAGAACTCTGACCGATAGAGCAAGGCTTACTCAGATGGTCAGTAGGGATCCGAGAGACACTGAATATCACTCCTGAAATTGAGAAATCTACCTCCTTTTGAGTAGCAATAGCAGACATCAATCCAGGACACAATCCAGACCGATGACTTAGGGTTAATGTATCTGAGGAAGACAGGGCTGCAATTTAAATAACAGCACAAGGTTCACGATGATAACATTTGAACAAGAGTGAGGGAGAAGGGCAATGAAGGCCTAACTAATATCAATTTGTTTGACTTTTTTTTTTCTCCTTAAAGACTCCATGGTCATGTAAACACAGATCAACAAATGATCAAGTCTTTCTGCCAAACACACTCCTGTGTTGCTTTGTTCTGTGCCGGCCCCTGACGTCCTTTCAGATAACACTTGAAAGCAGAAGCCTGTTCGGTATATTTAAACTGTCACTGATCCAGCAATTTTTCCTTGTAAGTGCCATTCAAACAGCAGTATTATGTTCCTCTCAAATTTATCTAGGGGGGTTTGAGAAAGATAAGTACAAAACTTAACTCACAGGCTTTTTAAAGCCCTTTGTTTAAATCTGCATACATATTAAAGCGGCCCACCTGTGGTTTGTTATTATAAAAGTGTAAGTTATAGATTTGGTGTGGTTATAGAACACACAACTTAACATCATAGTGCAGATAATGTATTCTGGAATGTTAGACATTATTTGATCAAGTCCTCTGGGCAATTGTAATAAACATACCAGGGCTATGTATATACAGAAAGCATGAGTCAAAATTGGAAATGTAAACCTTTGCCTAACGCTAATGTTCCTCCAGATAATCTTACTCCATTGATTGGAACGTGTTTAGTGGTAAAACAAATAATCAGAAGCATATTACACATGGGTGTTAATAGGCACATCTACGCCATTTCAAACAAAGCAGATTACTTTCCAGTATTACAATGGAGCAGAATAATACAACTGTGTTTGGAAGGCTCTGATCAGCTGAGATGAAGGAATTTAGAATTGTGGGAAGTTCTCTGACTGGCTGACGGAGGATGTGTTGTTGATATACAGCATCACAAAAGTATTTTACATGTCAGATGGAGCCTCTGTGTTTCTGGCTGCCATAACACCAGGCCTCCCTGTGAGATGGGCTGCTCTGTCGCCCAATAAATGGATGAACAGGTTGAACAAATGTAAGCATGGTGGGACTGTCCCTAAAGTAAACATTTCTGTTCAGGAATGTATAATTTGGTCTACAAAGTATTAGTCAGATCTCTCCACAAAGAAACTGTGGAGGTGTTGCTCAATAAAAAATGTATAGACTAGGGATGCACCGATATATCGGCCGAAAATTGCACTTTTGGCTAAATGCCAAAAGTGCAATTTTCCTGCCGATACATCGGCGCATCCCTGCTTTCTCTTCTCCTCGCTGGGCGCTGCTCCGTGTCCCAGCGGGGAGGAGAGAAACTGTGACAGGCGGCCGAGCGCTGCGAGCAGCCGGTGTCTCTCCTAACGTCTCTGTCCGGAGACAGCACGCGCTGTCACAAGAGACTGAGACTGACCTGTGACAAAGAAGCTGTCACAGTTCGACTCCATCGATCGGGAAGTGAGCAGAAACATGCACCGATCTGCTCCCTTCTCGATCGTCTCCCTGCAGTGAGCGGTGACTGTCAGTCATGGCTCCCCGCAAGTATTCCCCCCTTCCCTCTCTGATCCTCAAGCGCTGAGTGAAGGAACAGGGGAGGGGGCGGGTACAGCTTTCACTCATGCAGCAGGGTGGATACTGTACCCAAAACTCAGTATATAGCGAGCTATTGCCCACTATATGCTGACAGCGCAGAGCCTGTACAGCAGCCGGGATGGATCCCAACAATACTGTCGAGATCCACCTCACTGGCTGATTGACAGCTGGCCCTGCCTTTCAAGACCGTCCGTTCCTCCAGTCAGCACTGGAGAAATGGAGAGGGGGGCAGCCTTGTAGAGAGCAGTGACTACAGTAACCGCTCTCTGCAGGGAGAAGATCGAGAACTCAGTGATCGGCGGTACGTGTTCGCTGACTTCCTGATCAATACAGCTGACCTGTGACAGCTCCACTGTTGAATGTCAGCTTGAATTGTGTGGATGAGTGTTTTTCACTAACCCCATAATTCGCCTTTAAGTAACAGACATTCTCAGCCAAAAACAAGCACAGCAAGTCAGATAGGGCCCGCTTCATTTACTAGCTTGAAGATGTCCAGCATTATATAGACCAACTTCACTATCTCAAAACCCACCCCGTTAATTTATTGGACATCAGTTCTTTTAGTCATGGAGGCTTAGCATCACGTGTGGGTCTTATGCAGCCTGCCATCCATCCATTTTGATATGTGCATAACTCCTCCCAAGGGCCAGCCTACAGCGTACATCAGGGCTGAGAGCAGTAATGAGACAGGGTGTTGTGATGTTTGCAGAAAGCTTTGTACAGCACCTTACCTTGCTAGCCCCATCCCCCCCTCCCCCCACCAGCCCCAATCATCCTGAATTGCAAAGAGAAGCACAAAGACCCAGTAACATGAATGGATCTCAAATAAGCTAAGTAATAAAAAGAACATTAAACCTCAGGTTTAAAATTAGATAAAATTGCCAATTTAAAAAAATCAATAAACTTTAATACACAGAGACATCAAGGAAAGGACTGCATTTTTCTAGACATTTGTGATCATGGGCCTGTGGAAGAATATGGGATCACCTTGTTTAAACTTACAAAACCAACCAAAACCATACAATCATTAGTTTTCGTTTTAAATTAAAGCAATTTGCATCAATGTATCAATGTGTATTATGGACACTGGTCCTAACTGTGATAGAACAATATACTCTTACAGACTTTTTACGCTGCAGAAGCTGTTTCTCTGTTTTAAAATCAATAAAGTAAAGTGTACAAGTGACAAATGGCAAAAGTGCTTCATGGGTGATTATGCTTTTGTGGGAAAACTTTGCACTCCCAAAGTCCATGGGTGTGCATGCAGGGAGTTTATACAGCACTAATCTTTTCAAAACCATCATACAGAACAACAAGGCATGACAAAGTAGGAGCACAGTCAGAGTAATAAACACACACAAACACAGAAAATAATGAATATGCAAACCCGGTCCAAAATAAAAATCCTAATCTAAAAGGAAAAGTGGTAAACACATAAGGGTTAAGTGCTATCTGACAGTATTAGTTGCATTTAAGAATGACAAATAAACTATAAATACAAAAGGTGGGTGAGAGGTGGGGTGAACTTATATTCCTTACTGAAACTAATGGGTTTAAAGGAGGGCTGTTATATGCCCAGTGGTATGCAATAGAAAAATAAAGTTCCAGAGAAGTGGAGCAGCATGAGGGAAGTTGAATATTCCTAATGACAGTGAAGTCTCACCTGCTGGCCATGTTCCACTCCAGTGCGGGATTCTGGGAGCCTCTATCTGCCTCTGTCAGCAATCCACCATTGTTACTCTCCTTCTCTGGTTTCAGCTGCTCCCACTGAGCTGTGCCAATATTAATTGACTGCAGGTCAATCTGATACTGTCTGTCCTCAACTTCTGATCCTGGATCTCTGAGGATTCCCAAATTCAAAGCACGTCTAAAAGAAAAGATTTTAAAAATGGTTACTAAATTCAAGATAAAGAGTGCAGATAGCAACAGAACAAGGTGACAGATGCAATATGCAAAATTTTTGTAATCTTTATTTTGTATGAAACCCATTTTACAAAAAAGGTAGAAAGAAAAAAAATGAAAGAAAGCACAATTCATGCAGTAAGTCACAGTGCCAAGTAATAGGACCAGATGGAGAGGTCCAAATACTCTTGAGGTCATTACAGATATATCAGCAGGACCAAATTAAATGGTAACTGTCCTGATGGAAATCAGAGAGCTGCCACCACTAATATGTTTTTGATTATATAAGCCCTAGTGCCATCACCAGAACATTCAGGCTGTGTCTGCCACTGATCTAAATTGCTTCCCCTAACAGGAGGCATACAAAATGAAGGTGGAATGCCCGCCAAGTGACACACACATTAGACTTTGTGGTGATGTTTTAATTAACACTTGCTTATTCAGACCTGAGTTCAATCTTTTTTTTTTTAGAGTTTTTTTTCTACTTGTTTCTTGGAGGAAGATATATGCCTATTATTTGTAGCATTTAGAACTTGGACTTGTGTAATACAGATATAAACCAAATTCTCTTGTGACAAGAGCTTAATGGACATTAATGTGATTTTTCACATTAATGTCACTATTCTCCGTGGATTCCAGTAAAACATTTTTTTTTACATTTAACTTTGGAGTCTTAACCAAGTACTTAAGGTACAGAGCGTATAATTAACAGCCTCCATCTAAATATTACAACACAAGTTTAAAACTCCAATCTCTGGCTTTTCTTGCCTAGGTCTGAATGATGTCATTTATTTCTTTTACCAAGGCGGTTTTATGAATTTGTGTACATTAATTTATATTACAAATCATTGAGTGACATCAGGTCGCATATATTTGCTTTGGCTAATCCAAATATAAAGGGTTGAGGTTTACATCTGGAAATATTAGCAAAAAAATTAAAGTGTTCGCTGACATATTATTCCAGGTCATGTACATTTTCCTGCAATATTACATGGTGAAAATCTCCTTTATTCTTAGAGAATTACTCCAAAATCATTTAAATAGAAGCAGTAGCATTACTTTATTAAAGCTTTGCCTAATATACTTAGGAAAGGATCTTACCCAAAACTATTAACTTTGCATAAAGTGTTTACAGAATGTCCGTATGATGTTATGCGGACAATTGTGCACAAATTTACTCCAGCAAAAGAGTACATTCTTGAAGAAGCTTTGCTATATGACGTGGACATGGTTACCCACAGATATTTGAGGGACCAAATGGCCTGATTTTTTTCAAATAAAGTTTTATTGCAGATTTTTTTAGAATACAGTAGTACAAAAATTTAGAAACCAAAAACACACCCCCACGGATGCCTAATATAAGTCTATATTAAAGCCCAATGACATATCATTCCCATCATCCCAGTCGGAATGATAATTAAAGTGGGCTCAATAGTAAAAGTATGACAATATTATGTTTTAGAAAGGATCTATGTTGGGGTGCCGAGATTAAGCCAAAGCTTGAAGTATTACTAAAGGCAGGGCGTTTTTTAATTTAATGCATTCTCTGCATTAAGGTAAAAATTGCCCAGTACCTGTGTTGCCCCCCTTACCTGCCAGCGCTGCCAGTCCCTAAAGCGGTCCTCCATCCAAACCTCCTGGTTGCGGGGAGGAGATTGAGGGAAGAGAAGCCAAAGGCTACTTCTACCATCAATCAACCTGTTGGGCCAAGAGGAGGGGCGTGGCCTGCCACAGGCCTGTGTGTGTCTATGGACGCATACAGCCACTTGTGGTGGACCCACTAGAGAACGAGGAACTGAACATTTTTAATTTAAAACAAATTCATTATAAAAGTATGCACCTCCTATTTATAAAAAATTTAAAAAAATAAGCTTTAATATCACTTTGAAGAGAGGACAGCAAGAAATAAAATAAACTAGGTGGGGAGGTATGGGTAGGGAGAAAAGAAATGCATCACATGTTGATCCATGGGGCCAGTATACGCTGATCTTGATAAGAACGAACTGTCAGGGCCAGTTACACATGGATAATTATTTGGTCATTCGGCTTACAGGGACATAAAGTGGTCAGTATCCATGTATAGAAACTAAGGGACCCACATTTTGCTAAAGTGTGATTGTCAGTCATGCATTCACAGCATCATTTGTTCCAGGTGCGTTACATATATAAAATGCCCTGATTTTTGATTGCTACAAGCTATAGCACAAGTGGTTCACAAAGCGGACACTGATGCCTCCTGGATAACTATCTTCCGGATGTTTAGTGCACTCACATTGTGAACCAATACTGTCTAGACAACTACAATCTCTATGTTTTCCTTTTTTGGCTTAACACTAAGATGATTGCAAAATCTATTGCTTAACAACTTTGTAGACTGCCATAGATCCAGAGGCTGAAAATAGACTTATTTCCTTCTGTTTTTGAAACATTTAGACACATAAATCACAGAAACCTCCAGAACAACTGCAGAGAAAACAGCAGTTGCACAAGTCATCTTACAATGTTCTGTTACTTGTTTCCACTGTTTTATCAGAGGATAGACCACCCTGTCAACTCTGGGGGGATCTCTGAAATAACAATTCCTTATACCAGTAATATTTTCAGACATAATTGCAGCCTCTGTACCTAACAAGGCTATCACAAACCTATTTACAATAAGCTTGTGTTTCAGTATAAACATATCAGAAAATAAATGACACTATAAACAAGTATTGACATATACACACAGTATATATATATACCATTTTTTCAAGTACAAGTACTGATACTTGTCCAAGTATTCACAGATACAAGTACTGCTACATTTTTGTTTATTGTCATGTGACAGTTTTTATAAAACAATAAAGACTAATGATTTCAGGACAGTGGTGGAGCGCCAGCATAAGTCCCAGCTGCTGCCACCCTGGTAGTTCTCATGAAAACACACAACCATATTGCAAAAAAAAAAAGAAATGTGGTCCTTTATTTTACAAATTTGCAGAAATACTGGATGGCCCCTCAAATGTGATTTCATCTTAATCCGTATAATGATAAAAAAAGACAGCCTTAACATCACACATTGTGGTATTTTCAAAAATGATTTTGGATCATTTGTGCGTATTTCAAGTCTGGCATGCATTTCATTATCTTGCTTTATAGTCTGGCTTTCCATCTTATAGTTGCATTTCAGAGCAACTAAGCTCAGGACATCCACCTCCTTTCTCAAATATGGAATTTCTTTTGTTTGAACCACTCTGTTGTCAATTAACTCCTAGCTGTCACTCTGAAAATTATTTGTCCCAGGAAAGGATCACACAGTGTGTTGACACAGCAATGATCATTGTCGATGTCCCTCATGGCATTTCAACCTTTAAAACAAAGTTTATATTGCACCCTAAGGTAAAGGGAACTAATGTTTCTGTGTATACAATGTAAGGCTTTGTTCACATGGGGCGATCTGGTATTTCTGAGGCAGGAATGCCCGATGTCCCCATTCAGATGAAGCTACTGTACACATTGAAGTTAATAACAGGGGGAAAGCAGCCGCATCTGTAAATGGCAGACTGCATGAAATTGTACATGGTACGTTTACATGTGGTTTGGGATAGATGACTGTTGCTGGATACAGGATAGATTCATTCAGCGACAGTCATCCATTCCAAACCAGATGCAATTGTGCCATGTACAATTACATGCGAACTGCCGCTTACAATTGCAGACGCTGTCACTCTGTCAATAACTTGAATGGGTACATTCAACAAATACAAATGGGTACATTAATAACAAATGTTGTTAATCAGTTTTAGACTATCTGCTCAGACTTCAAAATAAATACATACCATAAGATCTATTGGCGGCCCTGTTAACTACAAACGTCTTAAATCTGGATAACGCAACAGATAAACTAACTGCATATATATGTGTGACCATCAGGTGTGCTTATAAATAAAAAAACAAATAACGTTTCAATTTTCTCTGTAGAGCAACCTCAAAATTTGATGAACAAACAGGATGGAGAGAACGTCATATATGTTACAATCCAAGCTTGAAGCTTTCTACTCGATATGGTCACCATGGATAAAAATAAAAAATACCGGTTAAAATAAATTGAGTGATTGTAATGTTGGAAAATGGCACTCCAGGCTCAACATCCTCTACACAGGAAGAGTTGCTTCTACTCAAAAATGTTTATGAATATATTTATTAATAACTATTAGAATCCCATAGATGACTCAGAACGTTCCCTCTTCCTTACTGACAAACCCATATTAGAATAAACCACTATATTCTTTCTCATCAGGTTTCAAAGTTCTGTAAACAAAAAAAATTAGTGAGTATGCTTCCAAGCCTTTATTTTATTATTATGAACCCCAGTTGCTTGGTGATTAGCACTTCTGCCTTGGAGCACACAAAGATATGCTGGTAGGTTAACTGGTTCTTGTCTAATTTAGCCCTTAGTATGTGTATGCATGTCTTAGATTTCAAACTCTATGCCGGGGATATATAAAAGGCTGTAATAAAGAATATACGGTATTTACAAAAAAAATTGGTAAAAAACAGAAGGAATGCATGCATATTTACACTAGTTACTCATGCACCAAACTGTAACTATAACTGTAACTAACCAGTCAAAACTCCAGATTTTTAGTTTTAGCAAACAAACAAACAAACAAACAAACAAAAAATATTGTTGTATAAACTGTAGCATACCAAAACTTCAAAATGTGGAATGCTCATGAATGTTTTCATTACCTCTGGACATGAAAAGAAGAACATTTAATACTTGTACTTTCAGGCTAAATAAGTTAAGTCTTATTTTCCTCTAACGTTTGATACAATCCACAAAAGAAAGCAAAAACAAAAACGGCAACTTTAGCACATGCTAACATGCATTTGACAATAGAAGTGTGTCTGTTTTCCACTATACATGGCAAGCCACACTAAATAACATATGGATACCATGACATATTGGGCATGCAACTTTGC